ATGATCTAAACGAAGTAACAAGGAGATTATAGTTAGCGAATTGGTCCTAAAAGAGTAAAATAAATATAAACTACCTTTACTACAGACTGTTATCTATTAAATCGGGAAAGAATAAAAATAAATGGTTCATCATTACATAACAAGACCAATATAATTTCATGGGAAAAGGGGGAGGGAGAGAGGGTTTCTTTTGAATAACAATGTGAAATTAAGTTTCCTGCAAATACTCTTTACTTGGTACAAAACATAGGATTTTGAGAATTACATAAAAACTCGTTGATTAAACTGTGGTGATCTATCATATACGAAAATCAAAGCTTACCACAGTATTTATTTGTAAATTGAGTTAGTCTGTGGGCCAGACCCCCTTACCGTGCACCCCCCACATCCCTATAAATTGCGTATCGTTGTGTTCCTTGTAACTATTTATTAAAAAAAAACCTATGTTCCATAAAAAAAAAGTGAACGCACTGCCCCAAAATGGCGTCCAAACATGGCGGATTGACGACTTTGACTTTAGTTAGTTTTTTGGTCACTGAGAATCAGCATTTGGCTTAATTTCCTCATAGTTGGTCTTTTATTAAAGCTGAATAGTCATAGAATAATAAACCATGAAGAAATATTAAAAAATAATTGGCTTAGGCTATGAAAAACACTACTAAAGTCAATTTTTTTAACAAAAAAATTTTCAAGTTAAAAATCAAGCGTCATTTGTAATTTAACGGCCTACAATAACGCAAAACGTGCTGAAATAAACCATCTGGAGAATATATTTTTCTTTCCAAAACGCTGATTATTTTTTTAAAACTTTAAAACAGTTCCGTAGAAAATGCACTTATGCGGCAGAAAAGCGGTAGTGGCGTGGGTGCTTACAGGCCCCTACGACACCATTCAGTACACATAAATGGCTTATTTAAAGTGATATAATAACATTTTTGGTACATTATATTGGTTTTATTAACGAACAAATATTAATGTAATAATTTAATTGTAAAAAAAAAATTAAAATTTTTTTAAAAAATTTATTATTATTTTTTTTTATTTAACCTTCTTTATTCTACACGTAGGTCGTTTAAGAAGACCTTAATTGTAAAAATGATATAATTATAATAATAAAACTTAATTAAAAAACTTTGCTAAATATCTTGATTTTTTTTTTTATTTAACGTTTGCAATTTAACACTGTGTTTTGTATATTTACTGATTCTTAAAGGTAATTAAAAATTTTATTTACTTCCCAGGAAATGAGTCATATTAATACCTGTTTTATAAACTAAAATAATATATACCTAATCTGAACTATATATAATGAATAGCTGCTGGGTTGTATAGTAAAACTCATATATCACTAATTAAAAAATTAATTTTTATTGCCTTTATTTTGTGCGGAAGTTGTACTATATCATAAATAAATTGGAAATTTTATTATTGAATGAATTATTCTCTCTGCACAAAGAAAGATAGAAAGGGGGACGCTATAAGTTCTTCTATAAACCAGAACTGATTGTTTGGATTTGGTCTTGAAATGAGGAAAAACGCGAAATTGAACTCGAAAACTGGAAAAATACATTAAGCGGACGAGAAAGGAAGTGCCAACGAAAAAGATAAAAAGGACCAGTATCCATTATATGGCTAAACGAATGTATAGTAGACAGATGAAGAGAATATTTCAAGATGTTGCTAAAAGGGAGTCAATTGCAGTTCGGATGATATTAAGTGGACGATGTGGATTTATTATGGTGAAAAACACTTTATTTTCGATTACTGAAGGTGCACATTGGGACTATCTTCACTTTGAAGCAGGATGTAGAGAGGTATATCGAGTTATAGCTCATAGCTCTTCTTCTGTTTAGTGCATTTGCAAAAGATTTTCAAAGTTTCTGAAAGACAATTAGATATTAGCACAAAGGATAAAAACCACAGTCCTTTCATATTATTTTCTAACATACTTGTTGCCTATGTATGCGCTAAACTGTGCGAAGCAGTTCGGTTTCGCCCTTTCCACCTTTCTTTGTGCAGAGAGAATAATGCATTCAATATTAAAATTTTCTATTTTTTTATGATATGGTACAACTTCCTAAAAATTTACTCCGCAATTTCTGAACAATAACGAGGTATAACTTATATAAGATTCCTTAAAAAATCTTTTGCAAATGCACTAAACAGAAGAAGAGCTATGAGTTATAACTCGATATACCTCTCTACATCCTGCTTAAAAGTGAAGATAGTCCCAATGTGCACCTTCAGCAATCGAAAATAAAGTGTTTTTCACCATAATAAACCCACATCTTTATCTTTTTCAAGGTTTTGGTACTTCCTTTCTCGTTCGCTTAATGTATTTTTCCAGTTTTCGAGTTCAATTTAGCGTTTTTCTCATTTCAAGACCAAATCCAAACAATCAGTTCTGGTTTATAGAAGAACTTATAGCGTCCCCCTTTCTATCTTTCTTTGTGCAGAGAGAATAATTCATTCAATAATAAAATTTCCAATTTATTTATGATATAGTACAACTTCCGCACAAAAAAGGCAATAAAAATTAATTTTTTAAATAGTGATATATGAGTTTTACTATACAATCCAGCAGCTATTCATTATATATAGTTCAGATAAGGTATATATTATTTTAGTTTATAAAACAGGTATTAATATGACTCATTTCCTGGGAAGTAAATAAAATTTTTAATTACCTTTAAGAATCAGTAAATATACAAAACACAGTGTTAAATAAAAAAAAAATTAAGATATTTAGCAAAGTTTTTTAATTAAGTTTTATTATTATAATTATATCATTTTTACAATTAAGGTCTTCTTAAACGACCTACGTGTAGAATAAAGAAGGTTAAATAAAAAAAATAATAATAATAAATTTTTTAAAAAAATTTTAATTTTTTTTTACAATTAAATTATTGCATTAATATTTGTTCGTTAATAAAACCAATATAATGTACCAAAAATGTTATTATATCACTTTAACTAAGCCATTTATGTGTACTGAATGGTGTGGTAGAGGCCTGTAAGCACCCACGCCACTACCGCTTTTCTGCCGCATCAGTGCATTTTCTACGGAACTGTTTAAAAGTTTTAAAAAAATAATCAGCGTTTTAGAAAGAAAAATATATTCTCCAGATGGTTTATTTCAGCACGTTTTGCGTTATTGTAGGCCGTTAAATTACAAATGACGCTTGATTTTTAACTTGAAAATTGTTTTGTTAAAAAAATTGACTTTAGAAGTGTTTGTCATAGCCTAAGCCAATTATTTTTTAATATTTCTTCATGGTTTATTATTCTATGACTATTCAGCTTTAAGAAAAGACCAACTATGAGGAAATTAAGCCAAATGCTGATTCTCAGTGACCAAAAACTAACTAAAGTCAAAGTCGTCAATCCGCCATGTTTGGACGCCATTTTGGGGACTTATTATGAATTATTTATGCTTCTGGTAAATAAAGTTATTTAAGTTCGATGTATTATTAATTTTTACCCGACCAAGTGAAGCGAAACGACGCTTATTGGTGTTGCCCAAAATCGGTCTTGGTCTTGCAAAGCGCAACACCAATACTGGTAAAAAAAATCGATTTTTAAATAAAAATTGAGGCAATAGTTACCAAATAGTTGAAATAGTTACTAATTCTTGACAATTTAGTTACTATATCTAAAGAATTAGTGTAACCAATATACTTTTGCATTTAACTCTTCTAATTTTTCATTCAGACTTAGTTAAGTTTCTCCTATTATAGAAATTACAGTAATATTCCTCTAGTAATAAGCGAATAGGTTTATAATAAGTTAAAGGTTTATAATTATTAATAAGCTAATACCAGAAAGATATGAAGGAGCAAGACTGTTACGAGAGGTTTGTGAAAGACCAAGACTGAGTTTGCAATACCAAGACTCGTCTCGGTCTCGTATTTGTGCAACACTAAGGGTTATGTGTTTGGGTCATCCGCTGAAATCCATATAACGCTTTTTTGAGCGAGGGGCTTGATCAATTTTCAAGTTTGATGGCTCAAATTATTTACTGAGATCCTCTGATTGAGCGGAAAATTCTGTCAAATTACTGTGTAAAGTGTGTTTAATCAATTTACTAAAAGTTACCTAACATTTTTTTCAGTGGATGACATAGACAATTTTTAACTTAGACGGTTTTAATAACTTAGTTAGATTCCGTGAATATTGCAAACAATTTCAGCTAAAAATTAAAAAAAAAATTATTATAGTGTAAATATCTAGATTATTAATTGATATAAAAATATATTTGATAATATGCTATGAAAAAGAATTGTTATTATTATTTAAAAATGAAAAAAAAATTAATTAAAAAAAACCGACCACAGAAATTGGGAAATTTTATCCACCCTGAGAAAATGTATTTTTATATCTATTGAAACATCTTGGTAGATTGCTAGAAAAATTGACTATATTTACCTAAAGCCATAAAGGAAACCGACCACTACACCAACTTCAAATATTCGTAGACGTCAATTTCACTATCAATCTACCAGATAAAAAGATTTTTAAGTAGAAATGGAAGTACATTCCCTTAGGGTGGATAGAATTTCCCAATTTCTGTAGTCGTTTTTTTTTTAATTTAAATATTTTTTTAGTTATACGTTTCATTGAATAGAATATATACATAATAGTATACAGAGGATATAGGACATAGTATTGAATGACTCAGCTCAGAAAATGAGGCGTTATACTAGAAATTCTGTAACCCAGGCTGAAGTTTCAGGAGGGGCATGTCTATTTTCTGTTATGAATTATTTTATTATAAGTGGGAACATTGGCTTTTAATTTAATAAATTGTTACAAGGAACACAACGATATGCAATTTATAGGGATGTGGGGGGGGGGGGGGTGCACAGTAAGGGGGTCTGGCCCACTGTGTAAGTTACCATCTGAAATAAACGCACATAGTAGTAGTGCTGCCATCTGTCAGAGAACATCGGGAACCTATTCAATACTTTTATAAAAATATTATAAATAAATTAAAGAATAAGTCAACTGGTTTCTTCATGACTTTTGCTTTTAGCCTTTCTTTCAAGTTCTTTCATCTCACATATCGTATCCAACATTGGCGTGTCTTTAGTTTCTGGTACAAACATCAACAAGAATGCACCTAGGAGGGCAAGAGAACCAGTGATAGCAGTGGGAAGCCACCAAACCTTCCTTCCCTGTGAAATATAACAATTAATTATACAAAAATAAACAGAGAAAAGGAATAAGATCAATGAAGGACTGAAAGATCATTTGGTTACGCATATTTCCATAAAGGTGATAGTAGCATAAGCACGAACAGGGATGCCCAGAAGTGAGTTTCATGGCACAAGTTGTGCCATCAAGATTTCAGAGGGGGGCATATTTCGACGGGTTTTTGAATTTTCGTTTTTTTGGGGAAGAGGAGGCAAATTTCGATGGAGTTTTGAATTTTCGGCCTAAGGGACAAGAGGAAAAACATAGGGGGCGGGATGGCCGAATAGGTTAACGTGTGTGCACAACACTGTGAGTTGCCCGGCAACCATCTCTAAGTTTTGAGATTGAAGAAACGTACAAGTTCGCATCCTGGTGCCAGAGGGGAATTTAAATTCTTCGCCCTCACCCTCCGGTCCGGGAAAATCCCATATAGTCTAAAAGGCAAGGTAGGGAAGAACAGAAAAAAATATGGAAGAAGAGGAAAAACATGGAACATACCACAGCAAGTGTAATTGGATATGATCTACGATTTTTCTAATGCTAATCTTTTTTAAGCTCTGTTTTTAAGAAAAGGTGAGCAATAAAATATTTTGGGAGGAGAGAAGGGATAGGTTCTTGCGCCATCGACCTTGGGAAGGGTGGGCACCCCTGAGTATGAAGGCATATCATTGCTCACTGTACTGAGAGAGTTCTACACAAGAAATCTAAATGCCAGGAAAAGGAGAATTTTGAAGTGGAGAGGAGCACAACTGATTTAGTAAATCAAGAAGCACACAGAACCTGATTTTCAATTTTGGCCAGGTGATAGAAAAGTCCATTGAGAAAGGCTTTTGAATGCTCTGCGGATATAGACAAATCATTTGGCAAAGTCGGAAAGGAGTATACAAGATGGGCGCAGTCTGATAGGTAAGTTGCACAGTTTAGTGTTGCCTGGGCTATCATACAAGATGAACATCGTAAGGACCTGTAGTCCCACCTGTAAGATGTTTTAGGTGATACCAATCCTGCAGTCCAAGTCTTTTGTTCTCTACATTAGTTCTGACTAAGGTTCTTTCATCTTTGACATAGTAATCTGCACTCTACTCCTTTTATTACACAATGCTCGTATTTGCCGACGTTCACCTCATAATTGCTACCAATAATAGTTGACTTAAAGCAACTTCAAGTAAACATCATGGAAGATGAACTGTTAATGAACAAAATGGATATTAATCTGAAGGAAACTAAATGTATCCAAGTACAACAACCATGCTTACTTTGCGGAATGAGAATCATGAGATTGAAAGGGCAAATCTTTGAACAGGTACAAGGTATTAAGTATTTAAGTATCTTTCTGAATAAAAACACTATATGGACAGGGAGGGATTAAATTGATCAAAATGGATCAAAATGACTAGGAACAACTGAAAGAATGTCCCCAAAAAATAAATAGTTCCATCCTACAAGTCATGCCAATTCTTTCTACCCCTAAGATTAACCCTTATCCAAAAAACAAGTATTTGATTCAGGCAAGAGAGATGCATTACATGAAAGATGTTGAGGTGTAGAGCAGGATCTTTTATCACATCAAACCTTTAGTAACAATCAATAGAAACTAACCAAGGGAAAATGAATTAAGAAAGTTTGGGCTCCATATCGGAATGAGTACTGACTTCTGTTCGGACTTAAGAAATGCTTGTTGAGGTAAGAAGACCAAGAGGAAAATTAGGCTAGATCATCAAGAGAAATGTGTGTGGGAGGCGTTCAGGAAGTGAGTACTGAACCAGTTCAGTATACACTGTCAGAAGGATTTTGGAATATGATTATAATGATTAATACACATAAACGATACATATTTTGTAAAATCTTACCACTATGTCTACTAAATATGGTGCCAGCAGAGGGCCAAATTGTGCCATGGTAAGGCAGCTACCCATAGCAGTGTTACGATTTTCTGTCGGAAACAGTTCTATGGTATTAAACATGATTATACCATATGCAGATGCTGCCACAAGCCTTCCGATAAGAGATACACATATAATTGGCCAACCTGATAATCCAGGAAGTATTTATGTTATTTCATTGAAAAAAATAAAAATTACATCTCTAAAATATTTTTTTGATGATAAAATATATGGATCACTATATATCAAAGTTAACTTTTCTTTTTTTTAATATAAACTTTTTTTCAAGCATGAATATTAATATTTTTTGGAAGAATTTTCATATTAACTATGGTATTTTGAGTAATAATATTGTTAAAAAAGAAATATTACCCTGTGGTAAAACTGTTATTGTTAACATAGCGATTCCAGCTACTGTGCATAATGCTATTGAAGAATTCTTCCTACCAAAGTAATTAAGAAAGAGGAGAGGAAGCAAATAGCCAGGGACTTCTACAATCCCAGTCAATCCCACATAGAGATGCTGATTGACTTCAAAGTTTATTCCACCAAAAGCTATAAAGAAAATAAGGTAATAATAATAATAGTCAGTAATGTTATTATAGAAGAATAGTCTTTAAAATAAATTATTTTAGAACACTGATGATTTAATTTAAATTTTAAGCATTTCATCAATTAATTTCAAAATCTGACTAATCTTCTTTAAGTTATTTATTAATGCAATTTCTATCACTGTGTAAAAAAGAGAATATTTTTCGTTATATCATTAAAAACAATTTGTTTTTCTTTATTATTCAAGAAGAAGAAATTTTTTAAGAGTTTTAGCCAATCAGCCAATGATTTATTTTTATGACATATTTGTATGAAAATATTTTTATTTGACGGTTTTACCAAATAAATCAAGTCATTTAAAATGTTTGTTCAGCTAGTTAACTTCACTGAGTTACTTTAATTACTCAATAAAATTCTGAATATTAAGAAATCATTTATTGAACTTGTTCAAACCTTTAATTTGACTTTTAGAAACCAAAATATATTTTAAAAAAAAATCAAACTACTTCATACATCTCCTAAAACCTGAACAGGTAACATCCATGACAAATGGATCAATTTCAATGTATTTCAGTTTTCCAGTATTAATCTGATTGTATGAGATTCAATGAGCAGACCGAGAGCCAGTGAACAACCTTTAGTTTCTTTTCATATCATTAGTTTCAATCATATCTTGGCTTATTTAAATTGTTTAAGATTGAGAAGATGCCCCATTTATTGAATTTATAATTACAATTTTGACCATTCTCAGTTTATTGTATAAATCTGCCCATTTTCACTGACAAAATATAATAATAATAAAGAAAATATACATGGGGAAATGTCTATGAAAAATTGAGGAGGGAGAGGGGAGATAAAGCGCATTGATGCATCAGTACTAAAAAATAACAATGAAACTAATAGTTACTTACTTATTACGAAATAATACAAATTTGCCATAAACCACAAGTAATTGCATATTAAAGTTCTTTTGGTAAGTTCATGTGTTGAGAAAAGTTTGAAGTAGTCATTTAAAAAAAGAAATACATTTTTGCAGCTTGAATCAGACGGGCGCTAAAAGTTAAGCAAGCAAAAAATTAATAAAATTACACAATCACAGTTATTATTAGAAAAACATTTCAATGAGAAAAATGATAAAGAAAACCTTCATAACTAAATCAGGAGATTTTTGGGGGTCATTAGGAACTAGATGCCACATACTTCCTATGATATTAGATGCCTTTTCTAGTTTTCCTGCAGTTATCAACCATCGTGGTGATTCTGGCAAGAACCTATAACAGAAAATAACTGCCAGATTTAAAATATATTTATAGTAAGAAATAGTAAATATTAAAAAAAAAAATTAATGATGAAATAGGTAAAAGGATTTTTTTAAATATAAAATATTGGATAGTCAATGTATTATAAGTCATAATTATTAAAAAGATTTGGAAGCTGTAAAAGAAAATATGGAAGAATATTGAAAAAATCAATAAATAATTAGAGGCATGTACATAGTGATACATTTTTTAGTAACTAAGATAAAAATTATTTAGGAATAAAAATGTAGAAACGAGGTTAGCAAAAATATTTTATACAAATCATAAAGACTATGGCATACCTAAACCATTTGCCTAGGGTAGAGCCCATAAAAAAAAAAAAAATAATAATAAATTAAAGAAGAAAATTATTTTAAATTCATAAATTATTGTTCCATAATTTTTACCTGCTATAATGTTTATTTTTCTATTAATGTTATGTTTTATCTGAGTTAAATGATAAGCCAACTGATTGTAAATATGAAATGAGGCATCAGCAAAAATAAATCAAATATCAGCTAATGCTATATTGAATTATTATTCTTTAGTTAAAGAGTATTAATATGATTAATTAAATAAATTCACAAAGATAAAATTACCATTAATTATTGGCTATGTTGACTATAATTAAGCAGGGTGTAGTGCAGACCGCCTCTTACCTCAATACCTCAGTATGCCAATATCCAATAGGGTACTCATCATTATTATCATAATTTATTAAATTTACTTAGAGCTTTACCAATTTCACATTAATCATTATTGCAATTGATAGATTGAGAGATAACTATGTTTTTTTATAATTCATACAAGCATTGAATGAAATAAAGCTCATCAGTTCATTAATAATTATTTCAATTATCTATTTATATCTGTACATTAGGAAAAAAATGAGACAATATCCGAAACTATGAAATTCGATTGAACTGCACAAATTAAATCAGAACAGGGTTAACATCAATTGTTACAAGTCTCTCCCTAGCTGATATCCTCTCTTGACTGTGACGTCTTTTGTTTTTCTTATTTCCTCTTTTGGGACCAAGAAGTAATCTGATAGATTTTTCGTTTGTGGAAGGTTCTGTTCTTGTTTTTTATTCAGAATTTAAATTATTGTCACAACATGCCTTAATTAAATTATTCTATTTAGTCTATAGAATAATCAAAATTAAATCACTATTAGGTTGATATATTGCCGTAATATCGAAATACATTCTTGAGTTTTTCAAATAAACTTTTTGACGATATGATGTATGTTTTGTTTTATGGTAGCTGTAAAAAATAAGACAAATAAAACCTATAAAATAAAAGAAATAATAAAATTTGCACTTACTGCATTGATATATTTTATAATTGAATTCTTTTAAAATAAAGTGTTTTTTTTATTCACTGTTAGGGGATTTATTACATAAGTTTCTTAATTAAAGTTCAATTTATGTAGTTTTTTATAACTATGTTGTAAATTACTAAGTTTTTACCAAAACTATCCTAATGATATCATTTCCTAAAGTAATTTATATATGCACCCAAAAAGTCTACGTATCGTGAAACGTAAAAAATCAAATTTTGAGATGGGGACGGGGTGGTTAACTATTTAAATTTGTTCGTCGATTACAATGGTCCATTATTGAAAATTATAAACCAAAAGGCAGATGAAGCAAAACAAAATAATAAAATATTTATCAAGAAAAAAAATGTTTATTTCTATTTAATTAAAGTTTATGCCATTTTGATATTTTATGAAGTAATTATTTAACAATCATAATTAAAAAAAAAAAAAGTTTTTACCAGCAATGGATGAACAGCGCAAGCATTGGAAGAGAGATTGCTAATTGCAGTTGCCTCCAATTGTTGGTCAGATATGCACATAGCGAGAGTTGCACAATTCCACATGAAAAGGCTAAATTGTATATGTTCGCTAAAAATACTCTATACTTCTTAACTGTAAGTTCCAGTACTGCAAAATAAATGATTAATTGTATCGAAATAGATCAATCTGTTTGTTGAAAAGCCATATTCAATATTAAATTACACCAATTCAAATAATATTCCCTACCATGTTTATAAATATCTTTACAATAATATAAATGAGGTATTAATTGTTAATAACTTAATTTTTGTCATTAATGATAATTTATTTTTAGACGATTCTCAGATTATGGGCAAATTAATAAATTTTGATCATGAAATGAATAATTTTTACTTTCACCTACTTAAAATATAGGTATAGTAGGGTAAATAACCTGAAAAATGTCTAAGTCCAGTATTGTAAGGAAATAGACGTTTTAACAGCGTTTCCACAACCATAGGGAGTGATATGTATTTATCACTGACAAACTTAATGTTTTTTTTTTAATTTATGTTTGAAATAAAAAAATCTACTGATAGATTCAATTATTTTCATGAAAACATATATATTAGGGCTAAAATCATTAAGTTTATCACTTATAAATGAGCATAAATTTCTATGACAGAAATCTGGAAGAAAAACACAATTTTATAACCATATTATCTGAAAATATTTTAAAAATCATTTATATTGATAGATTACTCATTGTGTAATTCATTCATATTTTCTTAATCTCTATTTCTTGGACAGTGTTACAACTACTTACAAATTGTATAAGCAGTTTCATAGATCCCAGATGCAGCGATACCTATCATCAGTCGACATGTTATAAACAATATATAGCTATGCACAAGAGCAGCAGATGGGCCAGATATCAGAAATATTATAGATGCCACTATGAACGCCTTCTTTCTTCCATACCTAAACAATAAATTATCTTCCTTAATAAAAATAGTACAAGCTATTAACAGCCTATATATATAACTATATCAGATAGTTAGAAATCCCTTTACATTTATTTACGGGTTCAAAATATTTACAATATTTACTAATATTCTTCTTGTACAATGCCTCTTATTCTATTCTCGATTATCTTCATTTCTACTCCTCTTATATTGTGTTTAAGACATGTTTATTTATAATTTAAAATAAATGATAAACAATCATAATAATTCCATAGGGCAGTGAAAGGACAAAGCTTGACAAAGATGTATATGTATATTATATTGTTTGTACTTATATACAGGGGTGCCCAGAAAGAGGGTTGATGGGTTGAAGTTGCTCCATCAAAATTGTTGAGGGGGCATCTTTTGACAGGTTTTTGAATTTTCGGGGGAAGAAAATTTCGATGGGGTTATGTTTTTTAGGACTAAGGGGCAAGAAGAAAACAGGGAACAGAGCGGAGTGTAATTCTATATGATCTACAATTTTTCTAATTCTACCACCTTAGCTTACTCTGTTTTTAAGAAAAGGTGAGCAATAAAATATCTTGGGAGGAGGAGGAGGGGTAGGTTCTTGCGCCATTGAACTTGGGGAGGGGATGTGCACCCCAGCTTATATATGTAATAGTTGAAAAATAAAATAGAGGATCATATTTAAGATTTATTTATTTATGAAATAGCTCTAAGACTTGATTGATTACCTAAACTCCCGTAGTACCGTGATAAAAAAGTGGCAATCCTTTTCACAGGATTAATAAATAAGACCCCTGGTGGAAATGGAGTACCATGTGTGAAATTAAATTAGGGTACGGAGCAGCCATGGAGTACTTTGGAAATCTTTCTTGCTCTATCCTCTCAACGTGGCTTAGTCAATTATGATAGTATCTTATGATGATTAAATATCTTTTAATGATGAACAAATCATTATTTTTATAGAGCTTATGAAGTTGTTAGTTTTTCCTGCTATTGGTCCCATAAGTTTTCTCAAGACCTTCCTTTTCCAATTTATCACCAACTTCTGGCTCTTCTGAGTCAAAATCAAGGTTTCGCTGCTGGACTAACTAATAGTCTTATGGTAGTTTTATAAAATATTTCCTAGCATCACAGGAAAGTTTCTTTTGGTACAGTGTTATCCTCCTTGGTATCCTCCTTAAATCTTTTATTTAGGCTTTGATTTTGTTTTTTCAATTATCGCAAATACACCTAGAAACAAAACTTATTAATTTATACCATTTCAGGTATTGTTATTCTATTATTCCTTGAGAATTATTGCAGATACAATAATTTTATTAACATTAAACTTGATGCCAAACAGTGGGCAGAGTAATGAAAAACCTGCTACTTCGGCTAAACAATTTTTTTTTATAATTCTAAAAACTAGATAAACTGTTTAATTAATACCTTAGGCAGTTTATGAGAATAATTTTAGTTGGCAGAATGAACATTTTATACTGTTTTTAGTAAAAAGTTCAATTGAAAATCTAGTTAATTTGTGCAATTTTGTGTGATTTGTAGGTTTTATAAAATTGCTTGGTTTGAACTGATGGTTGATAATTTTTTCTTGAAAATTTATATGCTTTTTACTGTCATTCTGCTTAATTAAAAAAAAAATACGTAGTCATTTAGAAAACTTGTTGTACTTCAAATTTTTTTTCGAATTAAATCATTTTTTTTTACAAAAACTGTCATTTAAAAAAATGTCTGATATTCTCCATAAAATGGATTTTCTACTGCTGTTTAGCAGTCATTTTTAAAGACGAATTCATACTACTTTAAACTGCCATGGTCTGCCCGAAGGTAGTTAAAATATATTTAAAATTATTTTTGTATGTATAAATGTTCGAACAATTTCTAGGTATGTATTAATATCTCCTATAACTAGAAATGCTCTCAAATATAGTTTTAAGAATTGTATTGAACATGAATAAAATAAGATTCTGTAGTTATTTTTTTTCGAAAAATACCTCAAACAAAACAATAGAAACTATTTTACATTAAAATTTTAATTTTGACTACCTAGATAAGAAATAATCTTTGATATTATTCATTTAACTGTGTATAACCATTTTTTATTTTCACTTTAATGTAAATAAATAAACAAACACAAGACCATTAAATGAACTAAAGTTTAAAATTAAATAAAAGGCCGGGTCAAAGGGTATAAGGCCTCAAGGAAAAAAACAACTTTTATTTACTTGTTCCACTATGATTTACTGTATGTTAGTAATAAAATGTAATTGTTTTCAATCTTTAACACTTATTATTTTTAAATATCATTATAATTTCAAAACGGTAAATTGAATATAAGAGCATTTGGTTGAACTTTTTTGACCTGATCTGCATCAGTTGTTGTTAATATAATCTTCAAAATTAATGAAAAAAATAGATATTATTTTCATTGGAAAATGTGATGAAGTATCGATGGTGTTCAAAATATCATTATTTTTTGGTTTTTAAATTTTTTTGTAATAAGAATAAAATAAAATGTTTATTATTCCATAAGAACTATCATAAAATGAATATTTATAATAAATAAAATATAAACTTTTTAAGTTATTAAATACACATATATTATAATTATATTTTGTAATTTATTGTTTAAAAAAAAAAAAAAAACTAAATAAAAATAAAGGTTGTATGTATTAATATTGACAGTAGTTATAAATAGGTATCTAAAATTATGCATTTTATGAGGTCTCTATCATTTTCGAAATTAATTTATTGTTAAATTTAAAAATTCCCAGGTTTAAACAAAGAAACAGAGATTTTTTTGTTTTACGCCAAAATGTTCAAATTCTGATATCATATTCATGTTCCTTGGACATGAAAACATAAGTGTACTAAATATCAAGTTAATCCAACATCATTTAGGAGTTCTAGGCCCTTTTTCAGGAAAACCCTCCTTAATACTTCCATACTAATAGCGGATTCAGGTTTTAATTTTTTGTTTCTTTATAACTGAAATTACTCTGAAGGAAAAAACTCCCAACATAAAAGGATGTTTAAGTGGTCTTTGAAGGCCAAAATAAAGAAAAAAGATATGACGTAATTATTGAAGCAATAATACTTTTAGAGATAACTTTCTTATATTTTTTTCTTAACACAGGTTTACATTTAATAGCTTTATATGCGTTATAATTTATTTTTAACAACCACACGATAGAAGTGAAAATATAAACAAAACCGTTGCTGAAATCCACCACATCAAGGACTATTATTTAATATGACTTTTTTATATGTTTCCACTAATTGCATAATGCTATGTTTGTAGAATGTCTGGAGTTTATTGTGAAAAACTGATCCATGTCTTCTTGCTTTTGGAATTCCTTTCCATTCATGGAGTTTTGAGTAGAACCGAATAAGTGGTAGTCACTTGGAACTACGGAAGGGTGGGGTAAAAGTTCTTATCCAAGGCTCACTAATTTATTGCGAGTGACCAATGAAGCGTTGACGATTTATGAACGAGTGACCATAGATTTGTAGCGTTGTCTTCGTGGAACACAACACCCTTCCGATCGTTCATAAGTCTTCAGGACGTTCTATGTTACTATTTAGTTAATTCGGTGTTACTATATCCTTTGGAAAGCTGAATTATTGCCGTATGAATCGTTTTTTGATTTAATGTCCACATAAGGAATAAATAAACTAAAATTCCTTATAGGTTTTTATTTTTTATTTCCATTTGTAGTTTGTTTATGAAGGCTGTGATGATGTCATTTTGTGTAGTTTATAGGATCCTAAATTTCTTGTAGTCGTATTGAGGTTATACAATTTTGGCGATTTTCGAAAAAAAAAATTCATGAGAGGGACCCCTATATTAAGGCTGGAAACATAGCCGAGCTTGTGCAAATGGTTTTCATCGCTTGTGTGCGACACATTAAGGGCCACAGCAATCTCTCGCACTGATTGGATGGGATTTTGATCAACAATGGTCTTAACATTGCTCATTTCAATTTTGACCGTGAAGCATCATTGATGTCAAAATTTCCAGAATGAAATTTCTAAAACCAATTTTGACAGGTGCGTTCGGTTAAGAAGGTATCATCTCCATAAACACTGCAAAGTTTTCTATGAGCTTCAGCAGCACGCTTACTTTTTTTAAAAATAATACAACAAAATATGACGATAATGAATGATATTTTCTTCCATATTCACAGTTCAATAGCAAACACAATACTAAGCTAGTCTTATCAAGAGTTAACAGACAAAGCAGTTGATATATTACAAACCGGATAAACAATCCACCTTAGGGATTAATTCATCGGATAAGAAGTGTATCATAGTGACATAAAAATAATCAGAAAAACCGAAAGGACTTATTTGCCCACCCAATATATTCACTAAGTAATAAAATTTACAGTATAAGATAATTGTAGTTGTTTAAAATATTTTTGTTCTATATCCACAAAACAATAACATTCACAATTTATAGCTAGTTACAAAAAGGATGAAATGCTCAACATTTCCCTTGCTTTACATTTCCCTTTAAAGTATGCAAGTCTTATTTTTAGTTTCTGAGATATTTTAATCCATATGTAAACACACTTCAATTAGTCGACTCGAGCCGACTTTACCCGAATAAGCGTTACACATCCGAGACTGACGGCTCAGACTCGTTCATTCCTCACAAAAAAGTGCAAAAGACGCCTAAAGAAATTTTAAATTCAAAGAAATCTAGAAATTTGACACCAATTGATTAGAAAAATATTAATACCTGTCGCTAAGGATGCCGAAGAACAAAGCCCCAATAATTTTTCCAACTGCAACACTGCCCTGAGCAGTTGATCTGAGAGGCAAGTCATCGCAAACTAGATCCCACTAACGATAAAATATAAAATAAATTAATAAAAAAAAAATTCTAGAGACATTTATAGCTAGATCGTGGCATTTTTATACAGACCTCACTGACTATTGTCTGATGAAATGAATCTTCGTCATAAATATAACTTTTACATTTCAATACATCTGGTTTTTGACTTTCATTGGAATATCTAAGAGCTTCATGGAAGTCTAAATCCTTCAATAAAGAATAATTCCAGGCAAAATGAACACAACTTTGTTTTTCCAATCTACATATTTATAATAACGAACTTCATAAATTTATTGGAATGATGAAGGAAAGAAAGAACAAACGTAGACTAAACAAAACAAAAAAGAAAAAAAATAACTATAATATACCCTGGACTACTGATCTTCCTTATTTGTTCCTTGGTCCAGTTCGCTTCAACTAGCTCAGGGATATTGCAGTAGAAAGAAGGATTTCCTCCGAGAAATACGTATGAAGCTAAATGGGACCCAATAACAATTGTAGGAGTTGCCGTTAGAAATAGTATCCATACTAGCCAACAATGATTTTTACATTTTTTTTCTAAAGCTTTTTCTATTAAAGCTGGATCCATTTCAGAGCAGTTAATTGAAAACAATCTTGCACGATTACCTATAAGTGAAATACAGAAAATAGTTATTAATACAATAATCACAGTGATCAATTAAACATAAGTTATAGAAAAATTATTTTCTAACAACAATTATTGGCTAGACAAGGGGTTGAAGCTTTTGGTGTTCTAAATATCTATGTCTCCGAAACACCTCAGTTCATATGACACACAATTAATCTTTATTTTCTCTTCGTTTTGGGTATCATAGTTAATAAATATTTCAGTTTGAAAAATTGGATGGAAAACCAAGTTTCAACATTTTCCCGATTTTAAATAGACTTATATTAACACAATTTAATACATCATAATTTTATTTACTTAGCATGTACTTTTATTTGTTTAGTTGAGGAAAAGATAAAACCTTCAAAATATCTGATAGGCCATCGCTTTTTATTTAAAAATTATAATAACTTTATTGCTGCTCAAATCATCAAAATTTATAAGATATCTAAATAATCAATTAGTAGAAAAAGATCGATGATTTTTTTTTTTCTCGATACAAGCATTGACGAACAACTTGATGAGCTCTTGATGACTACACTTTTCTTAAGAAAAAGAAGAGCTGCAGAGACATTAAATTTGAAGTTCAACATCTTAAGTTATGGTTAACCAGTGGTGGCCTTACACATCTGGCGCTCCCGGGAAATTACGTCATCTCCTAACTAAAAGAAAATTAGTTTATTTTGTTAAACTTTTGAAGGGAATTAGTCGACTGTTTAACATGTGATAGATAGTGAACGCAATTAAACATTTTTTTAGTTATTGCTTTTTATTCAACATAAAACGTGGTTGGTTAAGAAACTACATAATTGATGTTTTCTGGTTCTCAGTATGTAATCAGACCATGGTTTATGGTAAATTTTTATAAGCTTTAAAATATCTTCTATAATATATTATTAATTATATGAAATTAATGTCAACCTAAACCGGAACAACATGGTTTGAAGCTATTTTTGCTTAAAATGGAAATATAATAAATATAATCTCATAAATATCTCCAAAACCATCAATTTTTACAAAAAAAAAAAATATATAGGATCATTTTTATAGAGATTTTAAAGTACTTTAATATTATACTGAGCAATCTTTGCGAAAAACCTCATAGTTTTTGAGATATTCTAAAAAAAATATCATTTTTCAGTCCTGATCCCTCTCCCACTATCAAAATCCGACCCGGGAATCTTTGGAACTTTTTACCAGTAATTATGGGAAGGCTAATAAACAACATCAGACAAGTTTGGTCTTTATTTTTTCCCCCTAGCTTTACTGGGCTATAAGCCCAGGTTGCCTTGCCTTTGACTTTTGCTTGACCTGAATTCAATTAAATCCGACCATGTGATTATCTTCATTTTAAAAAAAACTTTGAAGATGACTCTTACTGCCTAAAAATTGCAGTTATTGTATTATTAGAACTATTTTTTTTTGGTAGAAATTAAGTTGTTTCTGTTTATAAGAAATAAAGATTTATCTATATACCGCATTGTCCTATTGAGATAAAGAAATATATCCCTAATTGATTATTGTGATATTTAATAAATTTTAATGATCGTAATGAAAATGAAGTTTATAATTATAACCAATCCAGAGATTGCCTATTTGATATTTAAAGGACTTGTCGTTTTTTTTTAAACTATACAAATAAAAGTAAGAAAAAAATCTAAAAACTTTAGAGTAATATTTATTGCAGATTTTTATCAAGAATCACAGGTGTTTTTAATAATGTAAACATTTTACTTTAAACAGCGACAAGATTGAAATGATTTATTAGAGATGTTAAAATGTAACTGAGGTTTTTACAAAAACACACAGACTTTTTAGTATGTTCTTTTCATACATTATCTTATCACGTATGATTCTCTCGTTACACGGCTAGTATAATATCAACTAGCGATGAAGTTCAATGTTAAAAAATACAATACTTCTAATGTAGATTATTGAGAGAAAAACGATGTCCCCGTTTATTTTTCATTGAATTTAAAAAAATGTTTTTGAAACTGCTATAGTTACTGTAACAGCGTCAGATCGTTTTTGAAGATTTGCAAAGACAAACCCTCAGTTTTTCCTGTCATAAACTCAAGCTCAGCTACTGTTAAAACTCGTAATCCACCCAAAAGATTAGAGTCGTCGAAAAAAAAGATGTACTGTGCAAAGCATTTTAATCTTAAATTATATAAAATATGGTATTTTGAAATTGAAAAAAAAAATAATTACAGTGACAACTCTATCTATCGAACATGAATGTTACTTAAAAATATTTTTAGTAGAAATTAATATTTAAAAAAAATGTTATTATTATAATGCCGCTACGGTCCTGCAAGAACCCGGGTCTTCTCCACTACAGCCAACCTATCTGCACGGTCTTGTGCTTCTTCCCTCCATCTTCGAACGACCAGCCGCCTCAAATCGTTCTTCACATCATCCAGCCATCTGATCCGAGGGCGTCCTCTACTTCCTTTGCCATTCGGCTTCTAACACAGCGTTCTCTTTGGTATTCTATATCCTGGCTCTTTTTATCAATGCTACAATATCAGGTTTTCCAAAAGTTCCCGCAGCTCCTCATTCTTTCTTCTTCTACATTCCGATCTCAGAAATCTTGTCCCATATTCTTCTCAATACTTTTGTCACCTACCAGTTGAGCATGCGTTCTGAGTTTTTGGTTAGGTCCAAGTCTCTCACACACACATAACCACTGTCCTTACCATGGTTTTGTAGATGCGGATTTTGATTCTTTTAGAGAGTGATCTAAATTTCAGATCTCTTTGTTAATTTCAAATATCTCATATAGTTTCATGGATCTTCAATTCCTATTCAAAATTATAAATGTAGACATTATTGACTATAAATATTAAAATTCATTAGCTTTTTGTCACTTTTCATTGCATTTTATGATATTATAAGTCAGATATTTATTTTCAAGTTTATTTATTATCATCCAATTTTACACCAATTTTTAAAATTTTGTCAACTTAAAGACATCATATCTAATTACGACGTTTCGGCTCGTTGAGCCATTTTCAAGTCTAAAAATTATTCCCAATATTATATGCGGATTTATTTTAAGTAAAATTAGCTAATTCATTTCAAATTTTTATTTTTTCAATTGAACTCGTGTAAAATGTATTCACATTATCAATGTGATAACCACGTCTGTATTATTATTTACCGAGTTGTTTAAATTCTTAGTTATGTATTAAGAAATTTATATTGCTTCCTTTATTCTACGTTTGTTTGTATTACTTTCATTATGCAGGATTTTGGCGTTTTTGAAATCAAATTCATGTTTAGTTTGCATAGTATGTTGAGAATGTCCAGTAGCTAATTTAATTTTTGTGTTTTTTGAATTACAATTTTGTTTGTGCTGTTTAAGCCTTTTTTCAAATCATTGTGATGTCTGTCCAAAATATGATTTGTTGTTGCAATTTTTACAATTTATTTTATAAATAATATTCTTTAATTTATTGGTGGGTTTTTTATCTTTAGTTTTGGAATAAATGGTCTTTTTAAAATAAATAGTCTTCCCCTACTCCTTTAAGAATAACCAGTCACTGAATAGAAATGAGACTGATGACATGTCGGTGTCACATGATAAGGTAATTTTAACTTAATTGAATCATTTAATAATAAATAATTGAGTAATAATAATGTTATAAAATAATTAAAGGTGGACATGACAAAAATAAAAAAATTATTATGAGTGGACGTATGCAATTCGTACAAGTGAAAAGGACAGGTACATGATGGGTATTTAGGTATATAAAAATAATCTCTATATGTTTTGAAATATGTAATATTTTAAATATGATTGTAAATTGTAAAAAAAATGTTAGACTTGAAAATGGCTCAACGAACCGAAACGTCGTAATTAGATATGATATCTTTAAGTTGACCAAATCTTAATAATTGGTGTAAAATTGGCTGATAACAAATGAACTTGAAAATAAATATCTGACTTATAATATCATAAAAATCAATGAAAATTGACAAAAAGCTAATGAATTTTAATATTTATAGTCAATAATGCCTACATTTATAATTTTTAATGGGAATTAAAGATATCCATGAAACTATATGGAATTTCCGAAACAAAAAATATCGCAAATTAATTTTTTTTCTCCTATTAAATATGCCCGGGGCACCAACTTGGAGGAGCGTACGTTGGGATCGCTTACCAATCTTTATCACCTTCAACATGTAAGAACTAAATAAACGTATTAAAATAATAAATTTTAGACTATCAATAAGTAATTTAAATTACTTTTTGATTTTACTTTTAAATTACTTTTGTAATTTAATTTCAATTTTGACTATAATGAGCAACCGTATTAGAGAAATTTTGAATGAAATATAATTCAAATATTACATAATATAAAACAGCTGAAGCTATAAATTTAATTGTTTTAGGGGGGATTGTGTCGTCATTGCCCGGGGGACGCCGAATGTCTAAAGCCGGCATTGTTTCCAACGGTATATTATACTTAAATAGTACTATTCTTGTTTGTGCGAAAATTTGTTTTCTATCTAGAAAGGCATTTTTTTTCATATTAGTTAATTATCAAATTTTTTCATAGTTTATAATTAGCCATATTTTATTGCCAATAACAATGTAAGACATCATTAGTACAAATAATTAAAACTAGTTGTAAGGAAGCCATTTTAAAAAATCGGCATTTAAGCCCAATCAGAAATTTTCATGTATCTGAGATCTAGCTGATATTAAAGACTGAAGAATTGGATAATGGTATTATAAGTCTGGCCAAATCGTTGAAGCAGTTTTCGAAAAAAATGATTAAAAGTGTGAAATTGATTGTATACACATATACACATAGATTATAATCTCAATTTAGGTAGTTAGTTTTTATCGAAAAGGTTGCTGACACATTCCAGACATATACTTATCTTAAATACTAATTTCAGTTTCGTAAGACTGTTTATTTTTAAACAAGGCTGTTCACACATTGATCA